CGACCTCCAGCTTGTGGTAGAGGTGAGGGGCTGTCGCTGACTGGGTGCAGGAGTGGAGCATCTGCTGTCTCCTGCACGAGATGGTGGGCATCGGGGCGGCCTCCTTTCGGAGGTGAGGCGAGACATCGCTGTTGACGTGTGAATTCACAAATAGTAATAGGAGCTCTCACTCCCTCAGAGTGCTGTCCTGCACATGGGTAATGCTGGCACACTCAAAGTCTGACGAGGACATCCGCTCCTGTTCCCAGACGAGGCCATTCAGAGTGAAGGGAGAGAGCGAGCGGTCATTGGAAGGCCTTAGTGAGACGCAGTAGAAGCCCCATCAAGGAAGGACGGGGCATGGAGTGGGTGTGACGACCCTTAAGCAGACTTTACCTCAAGTTTTGATCTAACTACATCTACATTTTGTTTTGTTTTCTTTTTCGTTGCAAGAAGATGCATATGCTTGTCAGAGAGAGACAGTGACAGAGACAGACAGAAGACAGCAACCAGGCATGGTCACACTGCAGTCCCTTCTCCATTTCACCATCCTGTCGGGGTTGGGGCATACACACACACGCTTGGCATATTTTTCAAGCCACCAGGGCCAGGACTTGAAATGTAGTTGGCTATGTGGGCCCAGCTGCCTTAACCACTAGGCTACCGGGGCATCTCCTGTGGGTTGTTGTTGGTGGTGGTTTTTCCCTAGAAGAGAGACAAACAAGCACCACCATAGGATCCCAGCATGCCCTGACCCCTCCCAGGCTTTCAGTCAGCCAGGGTCACGGGTGCACCTGTGGGCATGTTTAGGTCAACCTGGGATCTGAACCGATGGCCTTCTCTTATAGCTTCAGTGTCACACAGTGATGTCCTGCTGTCTAGGTCACCACAGCTGGGCCTGACACTGCCATCTGATGCACTTTCCCTGTCCTTCAGTAGCGACTCAGAGCAGATTGACCCTCTTTCTGGGGCACCCGGGCACAGGAGTGCCGTGGTGTTTTCAGTCTGATCTGGAGCCATAGCACCCTCCTCAGAGAATGTCCAGTTACAGCACTTTCATCTGAATTCTGTGATCCCACACTCAACGCTACGCAGAAGAAGTAAACTGAAAACCGCCCATGTGCAAAGAACTGTCATAAAGAACCGAGAAGAGCAAGTTTTTGTCCTCAAGGCATTCATGTGGGAGAGACAGAGAGCTATAGTAGGTGAAGTGGGGGGCTGGGCCTAGAAGAGGGGAGTCCCCAGCCAGAATGGGCTTTCTCTGTTATGCTCTGGACAAGTACAAGTTTCCTATGCCAAGAGAAGGAAACAGAAGTGAGAGAGACATGTAAAAGGAGTTAGGGACCTAGGGGTTGTCCAGTGTGACTGGAGCGTCCAGTGCCTGAGGGCCAGGCTGGTGAGTCACCTGGAGGAGGAGTTTGCATCTGATCACATGGTAGTGAGGAGCCATTGGGAGATTTCAGTGGAGAGTAGTATGTCCTGTGTATCTTAGAAAGATCACACAGGAGGGAGACCAGCAGTTAGCGTAATGGCTATGTCACTGGACTCCCATGTAGTCAACCGTGGTTGGAGCCCCGGACCCAGTGGTTTAAACTCACACCAGGCATGTGTGCATGTATGCCCAAGATCCCAAGAGGAGAATAGAGGAGAAGGGATTGCGGCATGGCCATCCCCCCAGGGGGTGATTTCTCGCTTTCTGTCTCTCTGTCTCTCTGGCAAGCGTATGCACCCTATAGCAAAAACCTCTCCAAAAAATTTAAAAATGTAAAATAAGGAAAGACTGCACAGGAGGAAAGTTGTCTCCGCTCACCTCACTATTTTCTTACGACCTTTAAAGTTACTCCCTAGGAATCTTAGTTGTTTCATGGAAACTTGGACTTAGAATCAAAAAGTGAAATTTTAGTTCCAGGTCTGCTATATTCTTTTGGGTTGCCAGGAAAATGGTGATGCTTTTTTTTTTTTTTTTTTTTTTTTTAGAGATTTTCACTGTAGGGCGCATGCACTCGCCAGACAGACAGAGAGAGACATAGAGACAGAATGCGAGAAATCACCCCCCAGGGGGGATGGTCACGCCGCAATCCCTTCTCCTCCATTCTCCTCTCGGGATCTTGGGCACGCACGCACACGCGCCCGGCGTGAGTTTTAAGCCACCGGGTCCGGGACACGAACCGCGGTCGACTACGTGGGAGTCCAGCGACATAGCCATTATGCCAACTGCTGGTTCCCAATGGTGATGCATTTTTGCATAGAAAAAAATAGAAAAATACATCACGACTTTCCCAGCGACCCACTAGCTTGGTGACCTTGAGCAAATCCCTCTCTAAGCCTTTGTTCCTTCATGGGTCATGGGAATAATAGTACCTAACCCAGCTTCACCTACATTATCCATGAAGTTCATTGAGACCCCTCCACACAGGTACACACACACACTCTCACCCACTTACATGCCTGCATGTGTACGTATCAGTACTTCGCAGATCCTTACGTGTGGCCAGCCATGGTGGCACGTGCTGCTAAAATACTGTGCTCTCCACTCTGGGACTCCATTAAAGGCCCAGGTTTCATTCTCCTTCCAACCTAAAGACCAGGTATGTGATCCCTCTGGCTCAGGGACGTCCAGACCTAATCTGGACAACAGAGCAAAACCCTGTGGGAAAGAAAGAGTGGGCGTGGTGCCCTGAGCAAGGAGGCTGAGACGGGAGGATTCTGATGCAGCGAGACCCTGTCAAAAGAAAAAAAAAAAAAAAAAAGTAGCCCTTGGTGCTATGGAATACACCTGTAGAGTAGTATTATTTCCCCTTCAGCCAGCCAGCTTCTGAGATCCACGCTTGCTGGGGGTCAGTCTCCAGGGTAGCATAAATCATCACTCAGTTTCCCTCCAGGACTCTGAGGTGTACAGCCTGGCAGCGATCATGCTCCCTTGATTCTGCAGGATCCTACAGTGGGAGGGTGCTTTGTGCCCATGGTTTTAGTTACCTTCATTACATATTACATTCCTATGAGATTATGAGATGGGTATAAGGATCTCTTCTAATTCTTTTTTTTTTTAGAGAGAGTTTTTGCTGTGGAGCATGTGTACTTGCTGGGGAGAGAGACAGAGAGACAGAGATAGAAAGACAGAAAGCGAAAAATCACCCCTGGGAGGGATGGCCATGCCACAGTCCCCTCTCCTCCATTCTTCTCTTGGAATTTTGGGCTCGTACGCACACATGCCTGGTGTGAGTTTCAAACTGCCAGGTCTGGGACTCTAACTACAGTCAACTACATGGGAGTCCAGTGACGTAACCCTTATGCCATCTGCTGGTCCCTGAGGATCTCTTTTTAACAAGATTACTATTGGGTCGTCAGAAAAGTTATGACACATTTTTGTATCAAAAAACAGAAAAATATGTCATGACTTTCCCAATGATCCAGTAGACTCTGTCCTTAGAATTAGCCTTGATAGGAGCCCAAATAGCAAAAAATGGAGAAAATCATGCAATTAAAAATTGAACCATCTCAATTATGCTTCTTTGGAAATCCCATGATCTTGTTAGCCTCAATATCTGAGGCTGTTGATTTAGACCATGCACAGGCTGCATATCCATATTAATCCTTTTATGTTGTGAATTTAGGTTTTTCAGAAACGGATGGCAGAGTCAGGCTTCCTCACGGAAGGAGAAATGGCCTTGATCTTTGTGAACTGGAAAGAGCTCATCATGTCTAACACGAAGCTGCTGAAGTGAGTAATGTAGTACATGCAGTGCCACTGCAGCCGACCCCCCAAGCCCTGAGACAGGCCGTCCGTCCCTACAGCCCTCTGCAGGGGCTGCTTAGCCAAGGGGACTTTCCTCTTTCTGTTCCCTCAGGCTTTTCTTCTTTCTTTCCTTTTTGATTTTTTAAAATCATTTTATGATGTGCTCTGTAACTGTAAAATACATAATTATTAAAGAAAGTGAAGAAGTTGGACCAGCAGGTGGCGTGGGGTTAAGACACGACTCCCACATTGCCGACCACAGTGCAAATCTGAGACACGGTGGCTTGAAACTCACACCAGGTGCATGTGCTTGTGTGCCCAAGATCCCAAGAGGAGAATGAAGGAGAGGGGAGTGTGGCATGGCCATCTCCCCAGGGAGTGTTTTTTCACTGTCCCTTTCTGTTTCTCTCTGGCGAGTACATGCACCCTTGCGGCAAAAACCTGAAAGAAAGAAAGAAAGAAAGAAAGAAAGAAAGAAAGAAAGAAAGAAAGAAAGAAAGAAAGAAAGAAAGAAAGAAAGGAAGGAAGGAAGGAAGGAAGGAAGGAAGGAAGGAAGGAAGGAAGGAAGAAAGAAAGAAAGGGAGAGAAAGAGAGAGAGAGAAAGAAAGCGAGCAAAGAACTGTAACAAAGAAAATACTCTGACTAAACAAACGAAAATGTAAATCATTAAACAAATAATATATTAATGTACGATCCCCACAAATGCTGTATAGTTGAGTCTGGTGGTAGGGTAGCTAGCGTTAAAACAGGAGCTACAGGTCATGCCCCAACTGTAACTGCCTAGTCTGAGTGCCTCCTAAATCCCCAGGTGAGAGTCCATTTCTTGGGGCGATTTCCCATCTTTTGTCCCGTGAGGAAGACTCCAGGGGAAGGCCCAGCAGTCCCAGCTGTTGCTGTATCTCTGCCCTTCTAGGGCCCCACAGCTCTCCTGGACTCGATGCTTCTCTATCTCCACACACAGCTTCTGCAGCCCTTGCTCCCTTCTTCCCTTACAGACTGGAAATTCCCTTCTTAGTTCAACTAAGAACAAGTTAGGGGGGCCAGCAGATGGTGTGGTGATTAAAGGCACTGGATTCCCACATGGCTAACCATGGTTTGAGTCCTGGACCAGGAGGCTTGCTTTCTCATTTTCCCTTTCTCTCTCTGATCAAATTTTTTAAAATAATAATAACAACAAATGGAATTAAATATATATTTTCAAAAAAAAGAACAAGTTAGAACTTTTCATAAGACCTTTTGCTAAGAAACTTAAGGTGAAACCAAAACAGTTCTAAAGGGCAGAAGCACAAAGTGTATAGACTTATTTTTTCCTTTTTTCTTGTCGTCTTTGCTAACATTTCTCCCAGGCCGGCCTGGCTAGTGCAGCTTTAGGCCTAAGCTGCCTCCCTGACCCCTGATATTTCCCACCCAGCACCAGAGGTTCTAGGCAGCTCACTGGTTGTAAATTCCCACTGGTCTCTATGGTAGTCATCCCTCAAGGATATTCACGTAGAAGCAGAAAGTGAGCGTGTCGTTTGCAGGGCCTTGCGAGTCCGGAAGAAGACCGGGGGTGAGAAGATGCCCGTGCAGATGATTGGGGACATCCTGGCGGCTGAGCTGTCCCATATGCAGGCCTACATCCGGTTCTGCAGCTGTCAGCTTAATGGAGCTGCTCTGTTACAGCAGAAGACAGATGAAGACACGGACTTCAAAGATTTCTTAAAGGTAATTCCATTCTGGGCCTTGCAGGTGTCCGCTGGGATAGTAAGCAGGCTGGCTCTTTCAAGGCCACAACAAACAGTGACTCAGGGAGCCTCAGGATGGAGAGGGCCATCCCTTTCCATTACCAAAGGGCACACAAATATACCTTCCATAGAGACCTGATTTTTCTTGGCGCTAGGACCAAGATCTTGCCTGTCTTACGACAGAGTGCCTGTTTAGGCACACTTACTGTCGCTACTTTATGCTTCCAATGAAACATAAGAATGTTACATTCTCAATTTAGTAAATTGTATTTATTTAATGTCTGTCTTATTCTGGAAGGAATATGAAATAGTTTACTTATGTATAAAATGCACAAAATAAAATGAAATTTAAAACAACTAAATGAATAAACTGGACGAAAGGAAATGAGTAAAAAACAGAAGATGATACCAGGAATGAGGATAATGCCTATAAAATGGGTGTCTGTGGTTCTGTACACGTAGACCAGAAGTGTGCGCAGTTGTCATTAGAGCTCCTAGAAACCAATAGGAAGAGCTTTCAGAAGGACAGTTTCCAGGATGCCAAGGTCATAAGTTAAACTGCAGAAGTAAAGCTGGCACTGACCTCTGATGGAGAACAGTATGTTGAATGTAAGAGTCGACAGCAGGACCAGCAAGTGGTGTAGTGGTTAAGCTGTTGGACTCCCACGTGACCGACCAGTTAGTCTTAGACCCTCCCAGCATGTGTGCGCACATGCCCAAAAGCCCGAGGGAAGACAAGAAGGGATTGCAGCATGGCCATCCACGGAGGGGCAGAGAGGTCCTCATCTTCCCTCTCACTGTCTCTCTCTCTCTCTCCAGCAAGTGTACACACCTATGGCAAAAACCTAGAAAACATCAATTGCATCTTTACAGTGATACGGCACTGGTTGTTATAGCAAATTGTTACATTTTGAGAAATCGTTTTCATTAATATTATTCAGTATTAGAAAGCAGTGCTACACATAAGTGGGAGGGAAATTAGAGTAAAACCTATTTTCTTGCTTTCTTTACATTTCCGGTTGGTTCGTTGTTGTTGATGATGATGAAATACTGCCTACTGGGATCTATTATGCATTCACTGCAGTACCTTAGGGGAGAATGCATTATTTTAGTATTTTCATCATCAAAGGAAGAATGGAAAATAATTAAGTACAAAATAAAAGATGTTTAAGAAGAGAATAAAAATTTCAAAGGAATGTGGGGAAAATAATGAAGAGAAACCCAGATGACATATTCAAGAACTGGCACATTGAAGAGAATTAGTAAACTGTGGGACCAGCAGATGGCGAAGCGGTTACATCACTAGACTCCCACATGGCCAGCCACGGTTTGAGTCTTGAACCTGATGGTTTTAAACTCATGCTAGGCGCATGTGCATGTGCATGTGTGCCCGAGACCCAGGAGAACAGAGAAGGGATTGTGGTGTGGCCATCCCCCCGGGGGTGATTTCTCAGTTTCTGTCTCTCTGGTGAGTGCACATACCCTATAGCAAAAATTTCTCAAAATTGAAAAAAAGAATTAATAAACTAATTCTGGAAAATCTAAATTAGTCAAAGAAAAAATAACATTAAGAATGGATATCACTTAAACTGAAGGGCGTATAATTTTAAAATATATGCTAATGAATGTGAAAAAGTTAACAAAATTTATAATTTTCTATTGAAAGTTGAGAACTGATGCAATAAGAATAGAAAATCTGAAGATGCTGTCAATCAAGAGAAAACTGAAAAATTTATCCCAAAGAAGAACCAGGTTCACTTAATTATAATATTCCATATTATTTAAACTGTTACAAACCATAGGAAGAAATACAAAGACCACCTGATTCATTTTACAAGGCAGAAGTATCTCAGCTCCCAAGGCCTGTTTCTGTATTTGTATTTAATTACCAAAAAAAGTTTAAGTTATAACCCAATATGTTTTATAAATACAGCTACTAAACTCATAATTAAAGTAGCAGTTCACAAAATCAAGCATTACATGAAAGAGAGCCTACTCTCACTAAGTAGGATTGTCTCTGGGAACAGTGTACTGTCGTTCTTAGAACGAGGCCGGCGTCAGGAACAGCCAGAGGAGGGTCACAGAGGAGAGGAGGGAAGGCATCCAGGGGACAGCCTGGGCAGGCAGAAGCAGAACCTGAGCCTTCAGAGACAATTGGGAACCAGCTGTCAGTACCGTCAGAGAGGCACACATCCATTACCCACCACACAGTAGGCACTTATTAAATGGTAGCAGTAGTTACTGATGAAGTTGGTATAGCGGACATGCAGAATTTGGGAGATCCAGAGCTGTCCGGGCACAGGTGGAAATCAGCGATGACTCCCAGGTGTGTGTATAGAAGGGCGGATGCAGAGTGGTGCTACCAGCTCAGACAGGGAGAGGTCGAAAAGATGGGCAAGGGCAGAGCTGCAGGAGGGCCTGGGGGACAGGGCTGGGACTCACCTGCAGGGAATCTGGGGCAGGGCCTATGGCTGGTTAAAGGTGTGTAGAGGAGAGGAGGCTGTTGAAAAGAGTGAGGAGGCCAGTGAGCCAAGAAGAAAGCCAAGAGAACGTTCTAGAAGCAAAGGAGCGAGTGATCACACAGGCTGCAAGCAGCATGATAAGAAAGGACTGAGAAGCATCTATGGGTCTTGATACAGGAGATGAGATATTCCTACTGTTAACCTGATATGTATCACTTTTTAAAAAATATTAATTGTAGTTGTTTTTGTTTGTTTGTTTGTTTTAATTTTATAAAAGGCATGTGCACTCACCAGAGAGAAAGAGGAAAAGAGAGAAACCAAGCCACCAGGTCCGGGACTCAAACCACGGTTGGCCATGTGGGAGTCCACCATCCTAGCCACCATACCACCTGCTGGCCTCAGATCGGTATCATTTTGTATTCTGAATTATTAAAAGAAATCTGAAGTTCAAAGGTTAAATTTAAAGACAAGAGTATGTGAATATGGCCAATGCTCCCCTTTTTTTTTCTTTTTTTTTTTTTTTAATTTTATCAGAGGGCAGATGTGCTCACCAGAGAAAGGGAGAGGGGAAGTGAGAAAGAGCTGTTTGTGGGGGATGGTCACACCGCAATCCCTCCTCCTTCATTTCTCCCTCCTTTCAGGATTTTGGGCATCCATGTACATATGCCCACCATGTTTTTCAAACTTCTGGGTCTGGGACTCTAGCCACTCTATTGGCCTCATAGAATCCAGCTGCCTTAACCACCAGGCTACAGACTGGACCCTGCTTTGTTTTCACTGGAGCTACATTTCCTCATGAGCCTCTCAATTATCTTGCAGAAGCTGGCGTCTGACCCGCGTTGTAAAGGAATGCCCCTTTCCAGCTGCCTGCGGAAGCCCATGCAGAGGATCACCCGCTACCCTCTGCTCATCAGAAGTGTGAGTGCTCAGGCCGGGTCAGTCTGCATGTGACTCAGGAGCAGGAACTGCAGAAGTTCAAGAGCCAGATAGTCAGGGTGCCCCTAGGTGTTCCAGCTGGCCCCTACATGTGGGTGACACCACCAAAGTGACCCCACTATTCGACTGGGCACCTGTGTGTGCATGCATGGGAACACACACTTACAGTCCAAAGGACTGAATCCTCGAAGTGGACAAATTAGAGGTATCCAATGTCACTTGGGTAACCTGCCTTTTCCCTCTCAGGAGTTTCCTGGCATCTCAGACTCAGGTGTGTATGTGCTGAGACAGGGTGAAGGCCCCCCAGGTCTCCAGCATGGAGCTTATCTTGAACCCAGAGGTGGGGCAGAATCCATTAGTATAATCTAAGGCACTGATCTTCCCCTGAGATCAAAATTTATCCGCCTTTACCTAGAAGTCCCAGGAGTCTCCAACTCAGTGTGTCCTAAACAGCATTCTTTGCTATTCTCTTGCTGTATCCCACTTCAATTTGCTAGCTATTTTTTTAATTTGTTAATTTTACTTATTGTTATTTTTTAATTTGATCAGAGAGAGAGAAAGAAAGCCACTAGGTCAGGAGTTGAACCACAGTTGGCTGTATGGGAGTCCAGCACCCTAACCACCATGCTACCTGCCAGCCCTGCACTTGCTAACCATTCTTTTCAAAATTCTTTCTTTGTGATATAATATGAGTCTTTTAAGCCAATTTCTCTTCTAAGGAGAAGGCAGACTTTACATAAGATTATTGCCCGAGTAATCACTGACGTAATTTACAAAGACAAACAGCAGAAAAAAAGGCTGTCACTTTTACTGATGATGCCTCGATTTTGGTCTGTTGGTATGAGAACTCAACAGTCCCCACATTCCAGATCGCCAGCAGACTGACCCAGTAATACAGTCCCCCGGTCCTTTACTGAAATATCTTGGGCCAGATGTGTTTCAGAATTCAGTCCAGATACCATGCCTTCCATGACACCCCAACAAAACCTGGGGCAGCACTTCAAACCAAACACGCTAGTGTTCTTACAGTGAGACCTGTCAGCAGTCCCTCTGAGTAGGATATGTGCGTGCTTCTCTTCCGGTCAGCTCAGATTTTGCTACCAAACGAGCACTGGATCACGACCGGAGGCTTGCAGGCTTTCTTGTGTGTTAACGTCGTGAGGAGAGGGCTGTGGGCCTGCCCAGCTGGAGCAGAGGTGGTGCCATCCTTGGGAGGTGTCTGGTGGTAGCCTGCAGTTTTCAGAGGAACCACGCAGAGCTGTATTCTGGCCTCTGTTCATTTGCATCTGTGGCATCAGTACTTTGAACTGAGTGCATTTTTACTACAAGCTGACAATGTGATTTTATTGTATTTTTCCTGTGGCAGGGGAGTCATCAGTTTCATCAGATTTTTCAAAAGGATCAGTGACCCCAAAACCATTAGCAACTGTTGCTGTTCAGCAAGTTAGCACACTTAGCGAGTTCAGAGTTGCGGCCAGTGTCTATCAGAGGCCTCACCCAGAGGTCCACGGCTTAAGCGTGGGGAGAGAGCAGGGAGGCACCCTTGAACATGGGCCGTTATCAGCACCCTGACAGACAGCAACCAGAGACCCACGGATTTCCGGACAGGTGGTCATGTAACAGCTGTCATGCCCTGCTGCAACCGAGTTATCTGGCCCTGTCTCCCCAAAACCTGTGGGGAGCTTGTGAGGGGCAGAGACTGTTGCCATCCTACCTCGTTTGCTGTTTGGTTCCAGTGCCAAGCACAGAACCACACACATACAAGCAGCTCATCAAAATGTGGACGGTCAAGTGACCACGTGGACGGCCAGGTGGGTGGATGAAAGGCATGGCATACCCCACGTGACACAGCCCTCTCTCTTCCAGATCCTGGAGAATACCCCAGAGAGTCACGTGGACCATTCCTCCCTAAAACTGGCCCTCGAGCAGGCAGAGGAGCTCTGCTCTCAGGTTAACGAGGGGGTTCGGGAGAAGGAGAACTCAGACCGACTGGAGTGGATCCAGGCTCATGTTCAGTGCGAAGGTCTCGCAGAGGTGAGGCTGTGCTGTTAAGCCAAAAGCTGCCAGGCCGGTTCTGGGTGGGGAGCTTGAATCCTTTCCCCAGTGTGGGTGTCCGACTCACCATGCTGCCCCACAGAGATACTCCTTGGATCGCCATCTTCCTTTCTTATAAGGAGGAAGGATGTGGGATTTTTGTTTTGAGGTTCTTTTTTTGTTGTTGTTCCTTTTTAAGAGAGATTTTTGCTATTGGGCATATGTGTTCACTGGAGAAACAGGTAGAAAATGAGAAATCACTCCCCCAGTGGGGATGGTCATGCTACAATCCCTTCTTCTTTCTTCTCTTGGGGTCTTGGGCATGCACACACACGCGCCGGTGTGAGTTTTCTAAGCTGCTGGGACTCAAACCACGGTCAGCTATGTGGGAGTCCAGCAACGTAACCATTACACCATCTGCTGGTCCCTGTTTTGAGTTCTTGAAAAGCACCTGTTAGAACTAAGTGATGGTGTTCGCTGGGCCAGTGTGAACTCCAAAGAGCTCGAGATGTAAGGATCTTCTGTGTAAAGGTGAACGACTCAGCACATTCTACACAGAATCCACAGGCCCAAGGCCCGGGCCTCGCAGTGGGGCTGGGATGGTTTGTGCCGAGACTTACGAAGGGACATTTTCTTTCTCTTTAAGCAACTTATTTTCAACTCCCTCACCAACTGCCTGGGGCCCCGGAAGCTTTTGCATAGTGGGAAATTATACAAGACCAAGAGCAGTAAGGAGCTACACGGATTCCTCTTCAATGACTTCCTGCTTCTCACCTACATGGTCAAGCAGTTTGCCGTTTCCTCCGGCTCTGAGAAACTTTTCAGCTCTAAGTCCAACGCCCAATTCAAAATGTACAAGACGGTGAGTGCAGCCTGCCTGGAGCGGCATCAGGCCCTACTGAGGTTTTGCGTTTACCTCAAGGGCCTCCTTCCCATTGAGCCTGCCCTGCCCTCACAGGACTCTCACCTGTTTCCAGAGGGCTTGCACTTACTCGCTGCTCTGCAGGACAGGACCCCTGTCAGCAGGGCTTTCAGTGCTCACCGGGGGCCCCCAGCTGGCCCCCAGCTGGATTCCAGCTTTGGACTCTGGCTTCCTCCCAGCAAACATGACACCTGGTCCCTCCGCTGTCCACCCTCAGCAGCAGTCTCTCTGTAAACCGAGCCTGATGCTCAGTGCCAGGGGTCGGTGTGCATAGGGGCTGTCCGGTGGCACCAGAAGTCACAGATTCTCGAGCTGCTGGCCCAGTTCAGGTAGACCTCGCCCTGGTACCACTTCTACAAGGTGGAGCCATTTCTTTCCTCCTGTGTTAAAGACCCCCTTCTACTGCTCTGCGGCGCATCAGACGGACAGAATCCTTGGGACAGGGCAGATGGAGTGTTCCAGCCCATCTCACAGCCTGTGTCTGGCCCTCATTCTTTCAGCCCATTTTCCTGAACGAGGTCTTGGTGAAGCTGCCCACAGACCCTTCCAGCGATGAGCCCGTCTTCCACATTTCCCACATCGACCGGGTCTACACGCTCCGCACAGACAACATTAACGAGAGGTCAGTCCCGGCCAGCTGTGGCTTGCCTGAAGCCTCGCAGGAAGCTGGACGCCCCCTCTCCTACACACCCTTCTCCACGGCCAAGTCCTACCAGCCCTGCGTCCTCACCAGTCTTAACATGCACCCCGCCAGGCTTTGGCCACCTCTGATCAGTGCCTCGCTTCTGTCTCCTCGTGGTGCTCCCACCTTCCGAAATGGCAAATCCGAGCCTCGGTCCCTGCTAGAGTCCTGTCAGGGACTGCCTCCAGTGACAGTCCCCGTCCTGGGCTGGTTTCCAAGACCCCGCTATGCAGCCAGCCTCTCCCCATCCCTCTTTCCCATGAGCTTGCCCTCCAGCCCAACGCTGCCCTCCCATGTACCTCTGTGTGCACAGCCACTTGCATGGGGGCCTACGTGCCCAGCTGTCATCCCAGTGCTCATGTGCATCTTCTTTCTGGATCCCTGGCACCTTCCAGGTGCCTGGTATTCTATAAGCAATCAAGAATTGTCTAGAAATTCTCAGCTTGATCCTCAGTGAGTAACTGAGTCTTTTACCTGAGCTTGCTAAAGCTGAGGTTAGCAAGAAAAAGCTTTGCAGGGGCTACCTTTGGGACCAGGAGGGCCATGAGGAGCCACCAATGGCCACTCCAATTCTCCTCTAGGACTGCCTGTTCAGCAAGTTAGCACACTTAGCGAGTTCAGAGTTGCGGCCAGTGTCTATCAGAGGCCTCACCCAGAGGTCCACGGCTTAAGCGTGGGGAGAGAGCAGGGAGGCACCCTTGAACATGGGCCGTTATCAGCACCCTGACAGACAGCAACCAGAGACCCACGGATTTCCGGACAGGTGGTCATGTAACAGCTGTCATGCCCTGCTGCAACCGAGTTATCTGGCCCTGTCTCCCCAAAACCTGTGGGGAGCTTGTGAGGGGCAGAGACTGTTGCCATCCTACCTCGTTTGCTGTTTGGTTCCAGTGCCAAGCACAGAACCACACACATACAAGCAGCTCATCAAAATGTGGACGGTCAAGTGACCACGTGGACGGCCAGGTGGGTGGATGAAAGGCATGGCATACCCCACGTGACACAGCCCTCTCTCTTCCAGATCCTGGAGAATACCCCAGAGAGTCACGTGGACCATTCCTCCCTAAAACTGGCCCTCGAGCAGGCAGAGGAGCTCTGCTCTCAGGTTAACGAGGGGGTTCGGGAGAAGGAGAACTCAGACCGACTGGAGTGGATCCAGGCTCATGTTCAGTGCGAAGGTCTCGCAGAGGTGAGGCTGTGCTGTTAAGCCAAAAGCTGCCAGGCCGGTTCTGGGTGGGGAGCTTGAATCCTTTCCCCAGTGTGGGTGTCCGACTCACCATGCTGCCCCACAGAGATACTCCTTGGATCGCCATCTTCCTTTCTTATAAGGAGGAAGGATGTGGGATTTTTGTTTTGAGGTTCTTTTTTTGTTGTTGTTCCTTTTTAAGAGAGATTTTTGCTATTGGGCATATGTGTTCACTGGAGAAACAGGTAGAAAATGAGAAATCACTCCCCCAGTGGGGATGGTCATGCTACAATCCCTTCTTCTTTCTTCTCTTGGGGTCTTGGGCATGCACACACACGCGCCGGTGTGAGTTTTCTAAGCTGCTGGGACTCAAACCACGGTCAGCTATGTGGGAGTCCAGCAACGTAACCATTACACCATCTGCTGGTCCCTGTTTTGAGTTCTTGAAAAGCACCTGTTAGAACTAAGTGATGGTGTTCGCTGGGCCAGTGTGAACTCCAAAGAGCTCGAGATGTAAGGATCTTCTGTGTAAAGGTGAACGACTCAGCACATTCTACACAGAATCCACAGGCCCAAGGCCCGGGCCTCGCAGTGGGGCTGGGATGGTTTGTGCCGAGACTTACGAAGGGACATTTTCTTTCTCTTTAAGCAACTTATTTTCAACTCCCTCACCAACTGCCTGGGGCCCCGGAAGCTTTTGCATAGTGGGAAATTATACAAGACCAAGAGCAGTAAGGAGCTACACGGATTCCTCTTCAATGACTTCCTGCTTCTCACCTACATGGTCAAGCAGTTTGCCGTTTCCTCCGGCTCTGAGAAACTTTTCAGCTCTAAGTCCAACGCCCAATTCAAAATGTACAAGACGGTGAGTGCAGCCTGCCTGGAGCGGCATCAGGCCCTACTGAGGTTTTGCGTTTACCTCAAGGGCCTCCTTCCCATTGAGCCTGCCCTGCCCTCACAGGACTCTCACCTGTTTCCAGAGGGCTTGCACTTACTCGCTGCTCTGCAGGACAGGACCCCTGTCAGCAGGGCTTTCAGTGCTCACCGGGGGCCCCCAGCTGGCCCCCAGCTGGATTCCAGCTTTGGACTCTGGCTTCCTCCCAGCAAACATGACACCTGGTCCCTCCGCTGTCCACCCTCAGCAGCAGTCTCTCTGTAAACCGAGCCTGATGCTCAGTGCCAGGGGTCGGTGTGCATAGGGGCTGTCCGGTGGCACCAGAAGTCACAGATTCTCGAGCTGCTGGCCCAGTTCAGGTAGACCTCGCCCTGGTACCACTTCTACAAGGTGGAGCCATTTCTTTCCTCCTGTGTTAAAGACCCCCTTCTACTGCTCTGCGGCGCATCAGACGGACAGAATCCTTGGGACAGGGCAGATGGAGTGTTCCAGCCCATCTCACAGCCTGTGTCTGGCCCTCATTCTTTCAGCCCATTTTCCTGAACGAGGTCTTGGTGAAGCTGCCCACAGACCCTTCCAGCGATGAGCCCGTCTTCCACATTTCCCACATCGACCGGGTCTACACGCTCCGCACAGACAACATTAACGAGAGGTCAGTCCCGGCCAGCTGTGGCTTGCCTGAAGCCTCGCAGGAAGCTGGACGCCCCCTCTCCTACACACCCTTCTCCACGGCCAAGTCCTACCAGCCCTGCGTCCTCACCAGTCTTAACATGCACCCTGCCAGGCTTTGGCCACCTCTGATCAGTGCCTCGCTTCTGTCTCCTCGTGGTGCTCCCACCTTCCGAAATGGCAAATCCGAGCCTCGGTCCCTGCTAGAGTCCTGTCAGGGACTGCCTCCAGTGACAGTCCCCGTCCTGGGCTGGTTTCCAAGACCCCGCTATGCAGCCAGCCTCTCCCCATCCCTCTTTCCCATGAGCTTGCCCTCCAGCCCAACGCTGCCCTCCCATGTACCTCTGTGTGCACAGCCACTTGCATGGGGGCCTACGTGCCCAGCTGTCATCCCAGTGCTCATGTGCATCTTCTTTCTGGATCCCTGGCACCTTCCAGGTGCCTGGTATTCTATAAGCAATCAAGAATTGTCTAGAAATTCTCAGCTTGATCCTCAGTGAGTAACTGAGTCTTTTACCTGAGCTTGCTAAAGCTGAGGTTAGCAAGAAAAAGCTTTGCAGGGGCTACCTTTGGGACCAGGAGGGCCATGAGGAGCCACCAATGGCCACTCCAATTCTCCTCTAGGACTGCCTGGTAGAGAGAAATGTTCTCAGCAGCGCTGTTGGTCCAAGCGCCGCATCTCTGTCATCGAAAGAGCACTGTTAGGATTTAATGTGGACATGGTGATGGTGTGTTCGATGGGTGTGTTCTTTGTCGCTCTGATGTAAGGATCTTCTGTGTAAAGGTGAACGACTCAGCACATTCTACACAGAATCCACAGGCCCAAGGCCCGGGCCTCGCAGTGGGGCTGGGATGGTTTGTGCCGAGACTTACGAAGGGACATTTTCTTTCTCTTAAGCAACTTATTTTCAACTCCCTCACCAACTGCCTGGGGCCCCGGAAGCTTTTGCATAGTGGGAAATTATACAAGACCAAGAGCAGTAAGGAGCTACACGGATTCCTCTTCAATGACTTCCTGCTTCTCACCTACATGGTCAAGCAGTTTGCCGTTTCCTCCGGCTCTGAGAAACTTTTCAGCTCTAAGTCCAACGCCCAATTCAAAATGTACAAGACGGTGAGTGCAGCCTGCCTGGAGCGGCATCAGGCCCTACTGAGGTTTTGCGTTTACCTCAAGGGCCTCCTTCCCATTGAGCCTGCCCTGCCCTCACAGGACTCTCACCTGTTTCCAGAGGGCTTGCACTTACTCGCTGCTCTGCAGGACAGGACCCGTGTCAGACAGGACCCCTGTCAGCAGGGCTTTCAGTGCTCACCGGGGGCCCCCAGCTGGCCCCCAGCTGGATTCCAGCTTTGGACTAAAACTTCCTCCCAGCAAACATGACACCTGGTCCCTCCGCTGTCCACCCTCAGCAGCAGTCTCTCTGTAAACCGAGCCTGATGCTCAGTGCCAGGGGTCGGTGTGCATAGGGGCTGTCCGGTGGCACCAGAAGTCACAGATTCTCGAGCTGCTGGCCCAGTTCAGGTAGACCTCGCCCTGGTACCACTTCTACAAGGTGGAGCCATTTCTTTCCTCCTGTGTTAAAGACCCCCTTCTACTGCTCTGCGGCGCATCAGACGGACAGAATCCTTGGGACAGGGCAGATGGAGTGTTCCAGCCCATCTCACAGCCTGTGACTGGCCCTCATTCTTTCAGCCCATTTTCCTGAACGAGGTCTTGGTGAAGCTGCCCACAGACCCTTCCAGCGATGAGCCCGTCTTCCACATTTCCCACATCGACCGGGTCTACACGCTCCGCACAGACAACATTAACGAGAGGTCAGTCCCGGCCAGCTGTGGCTTGCCTGAAGCCTCGCAGGAAGCTGGACGCCCCCTCTCCTACACACCCTTCTCCACGGCCAAGTCCTACCAGCCCTGCGTCCTCACCAGTCTTAACATGCACCCCGCCAGGCTTTGGCCACCTCTGATCAGTGCCTCGCTTCTGTCTCCTCGTGGTGCTCCCACCTTCCGAAATGGCAAATCCGAGCCTCGGTCCCTGCTAGAGTCCTGTCAGGGACTGCCTCCAGTGACAGTCCCCGTCCTGGGCTGGTTTCCAAGACCCCGCTATGCAGCCAGCCTCTCCCCATCCCTCTTTCCCATGAGCTTGCCCTCCAGCCCAACGCTGCCCTCCCATGTACCTCTGTGTGCACAGCCACTTGCGTGGGGGCCTACGTGCCCAGCTGTCATCCCAGTGCTCATGTGCATCTTCTTTCTGGATCCCTGGCACCTTCCAGGTGCCTGGTATTCTATAAGCAATCAAGAATTGTCTAGAAATTCTCAGCTTGATCCTCAGTGAGTAACTGAGTCTTTTACCTGAGCTTGCTAAAGCTGAGGTTAGCAAGAAAAAGCTTTGCAGGGGCTACCTTTGGGACCAGGAGGGCCATGAGGAGCCACCAATGGCCACTCCACTTCTCCTCTAGGACTGCCTGGGTCCAGAAGATCAAGGGGGCGTCTGAGCAATACATCGACACAGAAAAGAAGAAACGGGAGAAGGCTTATCAGGGTATGGTGGTGCTTGGAGGGCCTGGGCCGTGGGGCCTGGGACCGGGCGGGGTTTGGCCTTGGGACACCAGCTAGTGTTGCTGCAATGAGGCTGGCAGGGTGGGGTGTGAGCAAGGCCAGAGCTGTTGCAGGACCATGGTCCAAACCTTCCCAAGCCCCTACCCATCGCATAGAGGTGAGAGCCAGTGTGCCCGTGCCAGGACCACGGTTCCAAACCCCCACACAGACATGGGAGTGACTGTGTCCATCCCGGGACCTCCCTTCTCTCTGCAAAGTCACTGCCTTCATCCCTGCCACTCACCTTCTTGCCTCTCCGTGCGCAGACCTCAGCTCGGACCGTTTTGCACTCTCACACTCAAGCTCTGTGGCCTGTTTCCCTTCAGCTCATAAACCCCTCCTCTCCCTGCCCATCTTCTCCCACCCCAGTCCACTGGGCTCTCTCCTCCGGGGTCCACCCGCCCACCCTCTTCCTGGTCAGCCAGGTCTCCTGGCCCTGATGGCCCTTGCTCCTCCTCCCTTCTTCCTGACAAGGGGCCTCTGTTGCCCTGAGCCCCCTCTTTCCTCCCATCGTGCTCCGTGGGGCTCCATATTGTTGCACTGGTCGCATCCTTTGTGTTCACGTGCTGGGCCCAGCCTGCTCAGTGTATTTGTAAAACACTGCCCACCCACGGTGCCCTCTAAACAGAAATGTCACAGTCCCCACTTTCTTCCCCAGCTCTACCCCAATCCCAAGCCCCCGCTTCTGTGCCCGGTCTCCAGCCACTCCCAGACCGGCCTGTGGCCCCTCACCCAGGAGAGCGTGTGCTCTGAGCACCTCGCCTGCGCCTCCCCGCGACCCGGCCGCACCTCCAGGCACCCTCCCTGTACAGCCCCAGCCGGTTCCTGCCGCTGTCATTGTAGCTCTTCATATGTTTTTTCATTCAGGTTTCCCTTAAATTTGTTAAATATTTCCGAAAGGTATGTGTAAATTGGCTCTTCTAATTGAATATTCTTTTAATGGTACTTTAAAAGCTTGCTATTGAAAAATCAATGACTGAATCATTTTGTAAAGCCTGTAATGATATCTTAATTGGTAAAATATGTAAATCAGTATTTTTCTGAGTTTTGTTTATCATTAATGTCTGTGTATATTGTTGAGCATCATCTGTTCTTCAGACATGTATCGATTCTTTAGCCATTCCTCAATTATTTTGTGCTAGGCTTAACTGGGCCTACAGAGATGTATAAGGCCCGGCCCTGCCTGCAGGAGAGCTCAGTGCAGCTCTGAGAGAGTGTGAGCCCAAACGACCGCTCTCATAGAGAAGGTTATACTCGCCCTCAGTTAGGAAAATAGCTCTGGCCAGCTGGCGGCATGGTGGTTAAGGCAGCTGGATCCCACATGGCTGACTGCTCAGTTTGAGTCTCAGTCCAGCAGCTTGGAAAACACTCTTGATGCCTGTGTGTACATGCCCACAATCCCAAGAGAAGAATGGAAGAGAAGGGATTGCTGTGTGGCCATTCCCTCTCTCTCTGTCTCTGTCTGACAAGTATAATTTAAAGAAAAAAAAAAAAAAAGAAAGAAAAGAAAAGAAACAATCAGTAGTTCACCAAGCATCCTTTGGTTAGATTTGGGAGGTTTTATTTTTACTTTTAAAAAAAAAATGTTTTTTCCCATGAGAGAGAAAGAGACTCCTCATAGGTCCTCACACTGCAGTCCACCCCCAGCCTCAAATAGCCTAGCTATGAGCACACATATGCCCAGCTCAGGGAGGTCTCAGGACACAAACCCAGGACCTTCCCTGTGTGGGTCTGGTCGCATTAACATTATGCCATCACCTGGCCTTTTTTGTTAATTTTTTAAATCCTTGAAGCCTGCTCAACTAAGTTTCATGCTTACCAAGACTATGGGAGTCCACTGACTCTCCTCTCCACAGTAAAAGCATTGAGTACCTACTTACATAGAAAAAGGCCTTAAGTAAAACTGCCTTATAAGCTACAATGTCTCCATGTAATTGGAATTCTGGTGGGTGGTTTGAATTCTGGTGGGTGGTTTGGATTTTGACATCTGCTGTTTAAATTTTTACCTTGTCATTGAGAAGCTCTGAGTTGAGCACATTATAGTCCTTTCTAAGCCTTATTTTTTTCTCATCTACTTTGGAAGGTGTGCAGTTTAAATAGTACGATTTTATGAAGGTCCAGCACATGCCTAACACAAAGTAAATATTCAATAAATGCTAGCTGCTGCTGTTAAGTGCTAAACAAATAATACATAGTATTATTTTATTGAAATTACTCTTTGCATTTGAGAATTAATCAGAAGTCTGTGCTCTACAATGGCTCCTGTCTGGCAGAGACAGACATTACCTAGAATTGGAGGCCCAGTAGGCTGTGGGGTGGTCATAGTCATGGATAACAAATGCAGAGGGGAGGAAATGGGTCTAGGAGGTGAGGAGATGGGCCCTGGTCTCAAAGGACAGGATGCTGATGGACAGAGATGGTGAGCAAGGCATTTGTAGCAGGCAACACCGCAGGGAAAGGGCACAGGAGCAGCCAGGGGCCAGGCTTTGGGGCCCGGCACAGTAGCAGGTGAGTGGCGGTAGTCATGGTGGGGGAGAAAGACAGAGTGTGTACAGCTCAGCATCATGGCTATGCTGTCTGCATTCCCAGAGAAAAAATTAATGCAACTCTTCTTCCTTTTTTGTAGCCCGCTCTCAGAAGATGTCAGGCATCGGGCGTCTGATGGTGCATGTCATCGAAGCTACAGAATTAAAAGCCTGTAAACCAAACGGTAAATGCTCCTCTCGCTCAACAGGCTTGGTAGCTGCGCCACTCTGTGATGACTCTTCTGCACGTGTGATGAGAGGATACTTTTATATTTTTCTTTATTTATGATAGAGCACATGCGTGTACGTAGGGGAGAGAGAATAACAGAGAAAGAGGGAAAGAAAAGGGGAGAAAAAGAGGGAAGAAAGGAGAGAGGGAGAGGGGAAATAGCACTTCCACAGGGTCTGGTCACACTGCAGTCCCCTTCCACTAGTCCTCCAGCCCACTGGATCCTGGGCGCTCGCTAGTGTGCCCAGCCTATTTCGGGCCGACTAGGCTGGAGATCTGAATCACAGTCACACCTGGGACCTGTGTCCCCGTGAGCAGCACTGTCACTGCTGCTCCCACAGAGCCGCCCAATGGGATGCTTACGTGTGGGTTTTGAGTGTCACTGAAATGGTGACAAGCTAGTTTATCGAGCAGTATTATTACCCGTTTTCCCGGTAAGTACCACGTGCCTTTGAGAAAGCGTGAAACAAGTTGCACTGACACTGGCCTGGGCTCCGAGGGGGCGGTCCTGGTGTTGGAGCTTACGGTGCTGAGGACGCGGAGACAGCATCACTAGACCGCGGGGATGTGGGCCCCTGCGGTGGCTGCTGCCAGGCTCTATGGCAAAGCGTCATTTTGGATCCTGTGTCTGCTCTGGAAGGCCGTTAGTCACTCACTTTCCTACACGTGCCATGTGTGCCTATGGTTTTCCTCTCCAGGAAAGAGCAACCCGTACTGCGAAATCAGCGTGGGCTCCCAGAGCTACACCACCAGAACCATCCAGGACACACTCAACCCCAAGTGGAATTTTAACTGCCAGTTCTTTATTAAGGATCTTTACCAAGATGTGCTGTGTCTCACCATGTTTGACAGAGACCAGTTTTCACCAGATGGTAAGTATAACTTGGCTGGGAGCTAAAGGTTTTCCCGGTTTTCTGGAATCTAAGTCTAGATCCAGGGATCTCCGCCATTTATGTGCCCCCTGACACAGAAGGGCAATGACCCAAGCCTGGCGGCAGTGGGTGCCCTTCTTTGGGGACGAAGGAGTCTGTTTCAGGTCTGGGCCTAGTCACCCCTACCCTCACACAGACGCACACAGAGAATGTGCACGCCGAGCTCCTGGAGAGGGCTGAATGGGGAGGACAGCGTCTGACCAGAGACCGCTTCTCTCACACGAGTCTGCTGTCGTTCTCCTTGCGTCCATTCACAGCATCCAGCATCCATAAACCAAAAGAAGTTCCTTCTTTTGGATTTGAAAGTTTTACGAATCCTGTTTCAGACACTCCTCCTGAGGCATTTTGTAAATATTTTTATAATGAAAAAAGACTTGGACTCTCACATGATGTCTATTCATCAGATTTCCTGGGTCGTACAGAAGTTCCAGTGGCAAAAATTCGAACAGAACAGGAAAGCAAAGGCCCTACAACCCGCCGACTGCTGCTGCATGAGGTCCCCACTGGGGAGGTCTGGGTCCGCTTTGACCTGCAGCTTTTTGAGCAGAAAACTCTCATCTAGGAGATTCAGGAGGATGGCACCAGGGGATCTTCCCACTGACTGGGGCTGGGGAACCAAAGACTGTGCCCTTCAGGGCTGGGGGAGCATCTTGCAGCTTCATCCATCACAAAGCCATGCACGCTGGGGCCTCTGTTTCATTGTGCACTAAATCGCTAGCGATCTATGCAAACAGGATCTTTCCTATAAATAAACCAAACCCCATAGCACAGTGCCTTGCATTAGTGTTAAGCTCAGCTGGGTTTCGATGCCGAGGTTTCCGTTTTCAGGGCTATACAAAGTATTACACGGAAATGAGGCATCAGATCCAGAGACATCCCGCATGGTTGGACGTGTCCATTGTGGAGTGGTTTGGTGACGTTGTAACCAGTCCACGCCACGTGACCTGTGTGGGTCACAGCCACTCAGGAGGTGAAAGGTGGGATGAGGCGCTGCAGCCTCAGCTTGAGCAGTGACGCTGAGATGGCGTCTACTGGTGCACTGAATAGAACCAGCAACGACCACTCTATTCCTGACTAGACTTTACCATTCTCTGCTAAGACAATATAGTTTGAAATATGAGGGAGAAAGCTTGATTTACTTTAAATACTGTGAACGCTAATAATGTGGAAAATATTTTTCAACTTTAATTTTCTGAAGTATAAGTTATTTATGTAAATGTCTTGTTTTTGCATATTTCATAGGACATGCATCTTTAAGCTTTATCATTGCCAATATGTACAGAAAGAAAATAAAAATATAAGTTTATGAATGTAACTTCTTTCAAAGCCTGACTGGTTTATTTGCTAATGAAGACTGAAAACATATCCTCAGAGGTTGTTTATAATGAAACCAAATTCCTTTCTGGTACAGCTGGAAAAACCCAGGCTGCGGGGTCAGGTGAGGACACCCAAGGCCTCATCAAGGCTCCACCCTCCACTTGCTCTGTGACCTTGGTCAACCTGCTTCGTATTTCTGGGCTCTTCCTCGGTGGCTGTGTGGATGAGCTCTGTGGCATCTGCCTGACCCTGTGGTCCTAATGCTTGCCAAGTCGAACAGAGACCCCAGTGTATGCTTCATAGCCCCTCAAAAGTCCTCTCCTCCCCCAGCCCTGCCCTGTCAGAGCCACTTCCACACCACTCACGCTGCTTGTCGGCTTCTGAGTTGAGATGCGAAATCTCTGAAAATTGATAAAAAGGTCTTACACATTAAATCCCTGCTTAGTGAGTAAAGCTGGGAAAAGAGCTGTCCTTTCACAGGAACCACCTGGGCTGCAGAGTTCCTGACTTCCAAGGAGCAGGTCTTCCGCAGGCAGCTGGAGGGAACAGGAAGGATTTAGATGTCCCCAGGGCATGGGCCTCCACCGGAGCCCTTGCTTCCGTTTAAACATAATCACTGGGCAAGGAAGGATGGAAAACTTAATCCAGTACTTAAATATTATCTTCAATTTAAAAGTCCATCACTTACTCCTCGTAGGTGCTGACTGTGGGCACTGGTTGGTTAAAACATGGGTACAGAGACATAAGAGAAACCTGCACTCAGCATATGAGAACAGAACAGCTCAGCAGTTACTTACGGAAGGGACAGGTTGTTCAGGCACAGCCTCACTGAGCAAAGTGCTGGCGACCCCTAGGATTTGGAGAAGTGTGTTTGATTAATTACGAAGACAAGTGTTGATGCCAGGGGCGAGTCTGCCTCTGGCTGGCTTTTACAGCACTACGCTGTCCTGAGAAATCAGGCAAGTTTAAAACCAGCTCTGGGCTGACTTGTGTTCATAGCTACAGAACAACCCTTCTGTTCTGAGGACTGTGAGGACTTTAATTCTCACTAGTGTGAACAGTGGCTAGGGCTGTTTCTCCATCTCTAGATATGTCAGGGCTCTTTGGCAGATTTAGGACCCAGGAGCCTACAGGATCTGAGTCAGACAAACACTCAGCAACTCTTAAGTATCCTCTTTGAACTAGGAACACAGATCTTCCCCTGAAGAAACCAAGTTCTCTCCTGACTGAAAAGCGAACCTGATTCTCTGGAGGGCACGAGGAGGGGAGAGTGCACCCAAAGACTTCAGGCATCCACTCAGGAAGGACTGAGCAAATAAACCTGGTACAGCCTGGAAGCCCCCCGCTCTGCTGAGGAGCCCCCAGCAAGCCCTGCAGTGTGGGCAGGGATAATGGCACCCAGGGAGACTCAGGTTTGTGGCACTGTGCATTACAAAGTCCAAGTGGGTGTGAGGAGGAAGCACGTGGGCGGTGCACATACACCTGGGCACCAGAGGGACTGGACCTGGGGCAGAGGACTGCCCATTTTGAGCTAGGGGACTGGCCTCAAGCAAGTCACAGAGCCTTTCTGAGAGTCATATGTTGGGAGATAACAATACTATCTTGCTGTTGAAACTTTTTTCTTTTTTAATTATGTACTTTTATTTATTCATTCACTTATTTTAATTTGACTAGAGAGAGAAGAAAGTGAGAAAGCAAGCACCAGGTCCAGGACTCAAACCGTGGTCAGCCATGTGGGAGTGTCCAGCGCCTTAACCACTATGCCACTTGCTGGCCCTGAAACTTTTCAGTGAGTACAAAACAGCTCAGTCACACAGTTCCTGGTTCACAGCAGGAGCTCAATAAACAGTATTATTATTTGGATGTTTCTTACAGTATATTTGCAGCTGGAAAGAGAAACCACGAGTGTGGTATTTTAACTGCTGAATAGACGCTGCAAACTTAAGTCAACGAGGCTGTTTTGCCAAAGACGGCCCTGCCTGGCCGCGTCCTGCAGGGATGCCAAGTGCTTCCCCAGGACCTCTGCGGTCATCGCCCTTCTTTCCACAGGCCATGACCCCATTCCATGCCGGTTGTCCCCAGCTGCCCAGGAGCGGGGCCTCTGTTGTCTGCTTCCTGAAACCTGCTGACAGAAGAGAAGGGCTGAGTGTGCTGTAGGGTAGATCTTCAGTATTCTTACCCCCCCACACCCACCCACCCACACACACACACACACACACACACACACACACGGCAACTATAAGAGGTAATGGATACGTTAGTTAGCTTGATTGGTAGTCACTTCATAATGAATACATACACGAACTCATCACATGGTACGTCATGAATATTGAAGAACAGAATGAGGAGTTCCCTGTGCTCTCGCAGAAATTGCTGAAGAAAGTTACACGGTAAGTGAGGAGACTGTTTCTCTCTGGAGAGACAGGAGTACACTGTGATTGAGCAGGATTGGGCTGCAAAATATCTAAGAAGGGTTTCCAACTGGAGAGAAGAAACAGTCTCTGGGAGTGGCTGGTCAAAGGAGAGTGCACAGATGTGCTGTGTGCTCAAGACAAGTCCTGCGCCCATGAGTCACCGAGCCCTGAGGGCCCTAAGCCCTGGGCTTTAGAGAACAGTGTGAGAGAGAGTGGAAGGGGATGTGGGCTATGAGCTGTGTCAACTGAATTAGGAACTCTGGGTAAGAAATCTGTGCTCGGGCTCGGGACCAGCAGATGCGTAGCGGTTACATGGCTGGACTCCCGAGCACGTGTATCCTAAGACAAAAACCTCTTTTATTTTCTTTGAGAGATTTTTGCTATAGGGTGTGTGCACTCGCCGGAGAGACAGAAAGCAAGAAATCACTCCCCGGGGGAGATGACCATGCCACCCCACCTAGAAGAAATGGTGGAGTTGCCTGAGAGTTGGTGCTGCCACGCTGATGGGGCATCCTTTGGCAGGAGAGCCTTGCATGAGGAAACTCAGAAAAGTAGTAAACATGACCCTGAACCCCACTTTCAGGGGATAAATGATGCCCTTACAAAGAGAGGGCAAATCTGACCACAGAGGATCTGGCCAGTGCAGTTCCCTCAGCTCTTTTCCTGAGCTTTTGTCCCTTTGCTCCGCCCCTCCTCCCCTTTCCCCATCCTTTTATTTCTGCAGGATCCTGGGCCCACACATGGACCCCGAGAGCCTTGCAGGGCACGTGTTACTGCTGCATCACAGCAGCTGGGCCTTCTGCCCTTTTCTACCATTTACTGCTTAAGACATCCAAGACAGACCCCAAATGTTGTTTTCCTTTTGCCTTCTCTTTTCCACTCCCTTTTTCTACTGCTTCCTTTGCCCTCAGGGCCCATCTGAGATGGGCTTTGCCAGAGGCTGCAATTCTGGAATCCGTGCTTGCTGTCTGTGAGGGGTGAAAACTGTCCTCCCAGCCCAGCTCCTGGCAGGGCAGCACTCACCAGACCCTTCTTCTTTTCTTCCCCTTTGTTCTGGCTGAGCTTCCAGGAATGAAACTGCCTCTCAAAAGCAGTCTGACTTGGGTCAATTGTCTTTCTCTCCTTATCAGACAGATGTTTCTCTTCTGTATAGAAGAGCTTTTCAGTACTGCAAAGAAAGTACGGGGGGAAAGTGACCTGAATCAGCACAAACTGAATTACACCATTCAGTGGTTTCTGAAAATTAAGGTAATGAATTGAACACTCACGTTAGAAAAGGGAAGCCTGCCTAGACATCAGGTGGCTTCTCTCAGTCTGCCCACCCACACCCCTGCTGGCAGAGCCCTTAGGGAGGCAGTGCTTCGCAGGCTTCTCCCTAGCTGTGCTGAGGCATCAGGTCCACAGCCTCCACTGGTAAGGCCTAAGGCCATAACTGAACAAAGTGTTTCCAAGGCAACTCCAATGCTCACTCCAGGAAGTTAGCAGGCTCGCAAAGAGAAGTAAAAGTGCGAGCCACGTGGTCCCAAAAGAAAAAGGGCGGGCCTCCTGGTCCCTCGAGCAGCCTGGTGTCCTCTCCCTTGGCTCCCATGGCATACTGGTGTTTCTTTTTCTTTTTCTTTTCTCTCTCATTTTTTTTAAAGAGAGATTTTTGCTATAGGATGTATGCACTCGCCAGAAAGACAGAGACAGAGACAGAAAGTGAGAAATCACCCTCCAGGGGAAATGGCCATGCCATAGTCTCATCTCCATTTTACTCTTTGAATTTGGGACATGCATGCACACACACCCGGCATGAGTTTCAAGCCGCCAAGTCTGGGACTTGAACTGCGGTCGATTACGTGGGAGTCCAATGACGTAACCATTACGCCATCTGGTGTTCCCAACATACTGGTACTGTCTAACACAGCTAGCCACACACTCCATTTTTGTTTTAAAGTGAGAAGAATTCTGTTTTTGTAAGCATACTGTCTAATCTAGCCACCTTGCTCTTAAGTCTTTTTCTTACTTCATCAAACAGCCATGCAAGGCACCCAGTGAATGTGTCTCCTCAGAGGCCTGCTGCCAAAGCTGCCCCCATTCCTGCCCCAGGAAGCCTAAGGCTAGGAAAATTGGCCTTCTCTTTTCTTCCTCCATTTATTCATCCAAGAGCATTTACTTCTCTCTGGTATGTTCCAGCTAAGTGCTGAAAAAACCAAGATAAAGAAGAAATCAATCCTGTGCTCAAGCAGCTTGCTTCTAGAAATATGTAGTTTTATTTCGACATGATAATTGCCTCTTTCGCCTGTGCTGGAACGGCCAGTAATAGAGGGTGCGAAGGCAGGTCAGGGCATTGTAACTGTGCTGATCTGACCTAGAGACTTTTATGACTAATAAGTTGCTACAGAAAAGAGAGAGGAAAAATGGGAGAATAGGGGAGAGAACAAATACATATGGCAAGATGTTGGTATTTATGGAAACGGGTGATAGGTACATAGAAACTCACTGTATTCTCCACAGTCAGTGTATTTTGAAACATTTATAATAAAATATTTTAAAAACAAGTTAGTGTAACCTCCCACATTTATATAATGAGGGAGAAACATCAATCATTTCAATGAATGCAGAAAAAATATAGTTCAAAATTTGTGATGTGGGGCCCGCAGATGGCATAGCGGTTACATCACCGGATTTCCACATGGCTGACTGGTTTGAGTCCTGGACTGGTAGCTTGAAACTCACGTCAGGCACGTGTGCATGTGTGTCCACGATCCCAGGAGAATGGAGGAAAGGGGATTGTGGCATGGCCACAATGATTTCTCACTTTCCCTCCCACTGTCTCTTTCTGTAGTGAACACATGCACCCAAGGGCAAAAACCTCTACCAAAAAAAAATAATAAAAAAAATAAAAACAACTATAATGGAAAAAAAAAACTCACAGCAAATGAGGAATGGAAGTGTCTTCCTTAATTTGCTAAAAATAATGTCAAGCATAATAAATACTAAAAGCTTCTTTGATTTAGAAAATGAGACAAATCCACTCTCATCACTTCAGTTCAACTTTGCGACAGAGATCTTAGTACCATAATACAGTGAAAATAAAAAGTACAAGGAATGAAAAACAAGACAAAAATAACTGTCATTATTAGTAGATGATATGATTGTATATATAGAAAACCTGAAAGAAACTAGAGATAAAATATTAAATAAAATTTAACAAGGTTGCTGAATACATCAGTATATAAAATCATTCTTATTTCTGTACATCAACTACGAATACTAGAAAATAAACTATGTATATCAGGTCATTGGGAAAGTCACGACATATCTCTCTCTTTTTTTTTTTTTTAGGAGGTTTTTGCCTTAGGGCATGTGTACTTGCCAGAAAGAGAGAGATGAAGAGAGAAAGTGAGAAATCACCCCCACGGGGGATGGCCATGCCACAATCCATTCTCCATTCTCCTCCTGGCATCTTGGGCATCTATGCACACACGCCTAGTGTGATTTTCAAGCCACCAGGTCTAGGACTCAAACTGTGGTCAGTCATGTGGGAGCCAGTAACGTAACTGCTATACCATCTGCTGCCCCATGACGTATTTTTCTGTTTTTCTATGGAAAAAAATGCATCATGACTTTCCTGACAACCCAATAACAAAACAATAAAAAATTTAGCCACATATTTACAAGACTTTTAGACGTTTCACATCCATGGTACTTACTGTCACATGGGACTGCATAATTCTCTTATGGAAGGCTTTGTTGTAGGATATTTAGCAGCACCCTTGCCTCTGCCCACTACATGCCTATAGAGACCCATTTTCCTGACAACCAGAAATATCTCCAGACATTGCCAGATTTCTTCCTGGAGGCAAAATCAGTCCTGATTAAGAACCACTCCTTTGAGAGAAGTAAAATGAGACCACATAATGGAGAGATACATCATGTTCATGGATCAGAGGGCTAAAATTATAAACATGTCAATTCTCCCCAAGTGGTTTATAAATTCCATGCAATCCCAATCAAAACCCCATTTGTTTGTTTGGGGATGTGTGTGTGTGTGTGTGTGTGTGATTATATAAAACTTGGACTAATACTAAAATTTATAAAAGGATTTGTTCTTTGTTCTATCTGGTATTAAAACTCATTAAAAAACTGTGGTAAACAAGATAAGTAAGTAGGCCGGAACAGGGAACCCAGAAGTTAAATACATATAGAGGCACTAATTTGTATCAAAGTATGTACAGCATAGTCGGAGAAAAATTAAGATCTTGTCAGTCAATGGAGGGAATGGGCCTCATACACTGTATACGTAACATCACTCCCAACTGGATCACAAGCCCAAAACAAAAAGCAAAACATAAACCTATAAAGTTTTTGAAAGAAATTTAAAAATAATGTATGAAAATATTAATTATAAAGGAAAAGAAAGATAAAATTGACTATGTTAAAATTAATTCTATTCATCAAAAGAAACCACTGGAAGAGTAAAAATGCAATCCATGAGATAGGAAAAGGTACTTACAACACCTGTGCCTGGAAAAGGGTTTATATTCAGAGTATATAAGGAACACCTACAAATGAGCAAGACAGATACCCCAAAGAAAAGAATGGCAAAAGTCTAGAAGAAACATTTCTCAAATGAGGAAAACAAATAGCCAGAAAATATGAGGGAACTTTAAAAAAGTTAGTAGAGGGACCAGCAGTTAGCATAATGGCTATGTTGCTGGACTCCCATGTAGTTGATCAAGGTTCGAGTCCCAGACCCGGTGGCTTAAACTCATGCCAGGCATGTGTGCATGTGTGCCCAAGATTCCAGGAAGAGAATGGAGGAGGAGAGATTGTGGCATGGCCATCCCCCTGGGGGGGATTTCTCACTTTCTGTCTCTCTGTCTCTCTCTGTCTTTCTGGCAAGCCCACATGCCCTACAGCAAAAACCTCTCAAAAAAAAAAAGTTAGTAGAAAAATAAAATTAAAGCATGAGTTTATTTTGATGCAGAAAAACCTGAAACACTTGTATGGTTTTTTTCTACATATTTTCTACAAACTTTCTGAAGTCCCCTCATATATGAAAAGTACTAAGTGTCATTGGTCAACAGGAAAATGATAATGAACAGCCATCAGCTTTACACACATTAGTATGTCGGCCAATACCAAGAGTCAAGGAGAAAGTGAAGTAACATTATTGCTTATCGATGCTGACGGGTAAGCTGAAACAGATTCTGTGGGGAAAAGATTAACATTATCTCATGACCCAATAAACTGCATTTTTAGGTAGATCCCTAAGAAATGTGGGGGCCAGCAGATGGCATAATGGTTACATCACTTGACTCCCACATAGTCAACTACAATTCAAGTCCCAGACCTGGCAGTTTAAAACTCATACCAGGCGCATGTGTGACCCAAATCCTGAGAGGAGAATGGAGAAGGGACTCCAGCATGTCCATCCCCCTCTGGGAAGGTGATTTCTTGCTTTCTCTCTCTCTCTCTCTCTCCCTGTGTGTGTGTGTGTGTGTGTGTCTGTCTGTCTGTCTGTCCAGTGCACATGCTCTATAGTAAAAATCTCTCTTAAAAAAAAGAAATGTGGCCTGTGGGAACCAAAATACCTGCATTAGATTGTTGATGATAGTAAAAGGTACAAACAATCCAAATGTCCACCAACAGTGGAATGGTTAAATCAATGACAGCAGAGTTAACAATGGAAAACCATACAAAACAGAAACTAATACACTAGAGCTGTAGGCAACAACATGAGTGAATCTTAAAAATAGTGGTGAGCAGGGACCAGCAGGTGGTGTGGTGGTTAAGGCACTGGATTCCCACATGGCCAACTATGGTGAGCAAAAGTAAGTCACACATGGGTTGTACACACTTACAACAGATAAGTTTTATAGTATGTAAATTTATCCTAATAAGAACATTTTCTAAAAATTCAATCACAAAATATCAAGTGCTTTAAGTTTCCATTTACATAAAATTTTAAAAAGGCAAGATAAATTATATCATTTAATGATACAAAAAGAACTGATGATGCTATAGAAAGCAAGGAAGTAAACCCTTACAAATGTGGAGCTAGGGGCATGTGTGTGTGCATGCCTAAAATCCCGAAGGAGGAGAGGAATGGAGAAGGGATTATGGCATGACCATTCCCCATGGAGGGTGCTTTCTAGCTCTCTCTCTCTCTCAATTAGGGCAACCCATGTGTCCTCTGGAAAACTTTTAAAAGTTGAAGCTAGCTCTAGGGTGGGGAGGAGATGGCCATCTGCCAGGGGGCCAGTGCACTTCTTGACCTGGATGCTAATTTCACAGGACTGGCTAGGGATTTGTAAACTACTCATACCGCCTACTGTATGTATATTTCATAATACAAAACTGGTTAAAGTAATAATAAAACTAAAAGAAAGGTAATGTGACTAGCTACAAGGTCTGTGTTAGGAAATAAACTACACTTCAAGCTGAACAAACATTTGCTATTGACTTATTTTGTTCATCTGTACCTGCATTTACCGCGAGCTTTACTTCTCATGGATCTTGCAGAGGCTCTCCGTGGCTCTTTTGGAATCGCACTGTGTCGCATGAAAGTGAACTGGGGCAATTTGTCATGCAGCCTGGCCTTCTCTATTTCTTTTAGTTCTTTTATGGAAAATTTTTTACCTACAGGAAAAAAAGATTTAAAAAAAATCTAAATATGATGTCCATCACTCTGTGGTGGGGAATTACTTGACAATTGGCAGTCTCTAAAAATGAAGCCTGGTGAGCACAAAGCACCTGTCTCATAGTGCAGATTAGTTCTCTTCTTTTCATCCACTTCTTGCTGTCTTTGAAACGTAGGGTCACAAAATGGTGGGACTATAACCTATAAGAAAATCGAGACTTTTTGAGGACTCGGGTGCAGCTTATATTAAGCTTCTTAAATCCATTCTAAACATTCAAGTATGGCCTTACTATAACACTGCAACAAAAATAAAGATCTGTGAATTATGTCAAGGCATGGAGCAGTGGAAGATTAAGTATCTGTCCCATCTGAAGGTACTTCCCTGAGTTGAATGTCTGAATGGAAGGATAGAGGGAGGAAGGCTGGAGGGCGGGCCACCATGGAAGAGGCCTTCTATTCAGAGTTCCACTGTAGCACTGCATCAATCAATTAATATTCGCTGATGCCACTGAGTGCCACTTCCAGGTTAGTTCCTGTCCTCAAGGATCTCTCAGTCTAGGACAGGGTGTACCACAGTGACAGTCTAATCACAAGAGGAGTCAGCTCAGAAAACCAGGAGCACCTGGCAGCTCTCCTGACTGCCCTGGAAGACTCCCTCCTGGGGAGGCTGAGGACTGTTCTCTAAGGGCTTGTGAGAACAGAGCAGCAGGTGAACACAAGAATGAGTTTGTGCCAAGACGCAGGAACATATGGAGAAGATTATGGAGAGGCATTTTTTTTTCTCCTCCCTCTTCTAAGCCTTAATCAGAGGGTCTGTTTTCCCCCAATCTTCATTTCTCCCACAACACTTAACCCAGTGCTGGGCGGGAAGTACATGGTAAATAGTTACTTAAGGATAGCAGAATAAAATCGACATCATTTTGCTGTCAGAACCTACCTACCATAAAATCTCCCAATTTCTTGATAAACAATAATGCCCTGTGATTTAAGCCACCATTATTCTATTACCATTTACTTCAAAGCATTCCTTATAAACTTAGCTCCAAACCAACACTCCTGCCCACTCCACTGAGGTTAACAATGCAGTAGGTGCATTACAGTCCAATGAATTCATCTTAAATACAAAAATAAGGTTGGAGCTCTTCGCATAACCAGTAAAGTTGTTGAACCGACTCTTCAAATTATATATTATTTTTAAAAAACTCAACTTTTAGTACCGTTTTATTTGTGTGCTTTAAATAATATTCAAAATTCTCTTTCTTTTTTTCAGGCCCTTTATATGAAATGACTTTTTCCATAATTCTCTGCTGAAGCGGCTCTGCAACATTTTGGACCCATTTTTTATGTAACATTTCTTTTCTTCTTTCCTTAAAAACATCCAGATGCTGAAAATACTTATCCAATCTCTAAAGAAGTGATACAAAGAAAGAAAGCAAATTATTAAGAATGTTTCTTTTTATTGTCTTTTGAATGGGGGAACATTGACTCCTACTCCTAAAACTCTTAGTCACCCCCGAATCTCAAACATGCAAAGCCCTTGCATAAGATATTTGAAGCACAGAATGAAAATCAGAAA